ACCTTATGAACGGATATTTTATTCACAGTGGAACATAATAAAATATCAAATGTTTGAAGTGAGAAATAAAAAAAGTTTTTTTTTTTCCACTTCATAGGCCATGTGTTTTTAAACTGGTGCGAGGTGTAGACTGCAGGCAGCCCAGTTCAACACTCTGACCCTTCGACTACAAAGACAAGCTGTTTTAATATTATACAGTGAGGAAAATAAGTATTTGAACACCCTGCGACTTTGCAAGTTCTCCCACTTAAATCATGGCGTGGTCTGAAATTTTCATCTTAGGTGCATGTCCACTGTGAGAGACCTAATGTAAAAAAAAATAATAATAATCCAGAAATCACAATGTATGATTTTTAAAATCATTTATTTGTGCGTTACTGCTGCAAATAAGTATTTGAACACCTGCCAATCAGCAACAGTTCTGATCCTCAAACAAAATTGTAGACCTCCACAAGGCTGGAAAGGGCTATGAGGCAATTGTCAAGCAGCTTGGTGAAAAAAGATCAACTGTTGGAGCAATTATTAGAAAATGGAAGAATCTAAACATGACTGTGAATCTCCCTCGGACTGGGGCTCCATGCAAGATCTCACCTCGTGGCGTATCAATGATCCTAAGAAAGGTGAGGAATCAGCCCAGAACCACACGGGAGGAGCTGCCCAATGACCTGAAGAGAGCTGGCACCACTGTTTCCATGGTTACTGTGGGTAATACACTAAGACGTCATAGTTTAAAATAATGCATGGCACCGAAGGTTCCCCTGCTTAAATCAGCACACGTCCAGGCCCGTCTTAAGTTTGCACATGACCATTTGGATGATCCAGAGGAGTCATGGGAGAAAGTTATGTGTCAGATGAGACCAAAATAGAACTTTTTGGTCTTAATTCCACTCGCTGTGTTTGGAGGACGAAGAATGATGAATACCATCCCAAAACACCATCCTTACTGTGAAGCATGGGGGTGGAAGCATCATGCTTTGGGGGTGTTTTTCTGCACATGGAACAGGACGACTGCACTGTATTAAGGAGAGGATGACCGGGGCCATGTATGGTGAGATTTTGGGGAACAACCTCCTTCCCTCAGTTAGAGCATTGAAGATGGATCAGGGCTGGTTCTTCCACCATGACAATGACCCGAAGCACACAGCCAGGAGAACCAAGGAGTGGCTCCGTAAGAAGCATAAGGTCTGGAGTGGCCTAGCAAGTCTCCAGACCTAAACCCTATAGAAACTCTTTGGAGGGAGCTCAAACTCTGTTTCTCAGTGACAGCCCAGAAACCTGGCTGATCTAGAGAAGATTTACTGCAGTGTGTGCAAACCTGGTGAAAAACTACAGGAAAACTTTGACCTCTGTAATTGCGAACAAAGGCTACTGTACCAAATATCAACATTGATTTTCACAGGTGTTGCAGCAGTAACGCACAAATAAATTATTAAAAAAATCACACATGGTGATTTCTGGATTTTTTTATTTTTAGATTGTGTCTCTCACAGTGGACATGCACCTAAGATGAAAATTTCAGACCCCTCCATGATTTCTAAGTGGGAGAACTTGCAAAGTCACAGAGTGTTCAAATACTTATTTTCCTCACTGCATTTAATATATGGCCATACATTTTAATATGCTTTAATATGAAAGGCCTTCCCTCAGAAAGAAGTAATCCTGTTAGGAACACATGTTTTCTACAACCTGTTTATACTTTTCTGCATCAATACCTCACCAGATGTGTACTAAAATGCTCATGCCATATGCATTAATGTACTCCCATACAATCAGAGAGGCAGGGCTTTATAGGGCGTTTTCCTCTTTAGTAAGGAGGACATGGATCCAAAAAGTTTCACATTTTGATTCATCTGATCACAGAACAGTTTTCCACATCACCTCTGTCCATTTTAACTGACTGGTGGTGCAGAGAAACCAGCAACATTCATTTAATGGTTTTCACAGACAGCTTCTTCTTTGCATGATAGAGCTTTAAGCAGGATTTATAGATGGCACAACAAGCTGTGTTTACAGTTAGTTATGAAAGGGTCCCTGAGTCCATGTAGTAAACAGAATCAGACTTTATTCAATGCAGTGCAACCTGAGGGCTCAAGGATCACAAGAATCTGGACTTTCAGCCTCGCCCTTTGAGCTCAGAGATTTCTCCAGATTAAAAAAAAAATAAATCTTCAAATAATATCAGGAACTTTAGATGATAATCAAAGTTTTCAATTTTTGTCCTTTAAGGAACATTGTTGTCAAATAGTTCCACTATTTTTAAATGCAGTTCTTGCAGACTGGTGGGTTCAGCTTCTCTCAAGTGTTTATTTTACAGTCCTCTACTGACCTGTTGCCAGTTAACCTAACCAGTTGCAAAATGCCCCTCCAGCTTTCTTATCTGCGCCATTTACTTTTACTGTCTTCTGTTGCTCCTGTCCCATATATTTTTAGACGCGTTGCTGCTACTAAGTTCAAAATTACCCATTATTTTCCTAAAATTTGTAAAGTTTGTTAGTTTTAATATTTGATATGTTTACCATGCACGTGTGAACATAAGGGTTTTTGAGATTTGCAAATTCACACAATATGATTTGAATTGTGGTTTAAATGCAGCGATTTCAGTGACAGTCTTGGTGAGACCCAAAGATCAGAGCAGCACCTCTCTTGGGTTTGAGCAGTACAGTATTTCTTTCAGACCCGTGAACACGCTCCATTGTTTACCCTGAGCAAAATGTTGGCACAGAAAATTAATATTCATAGCTCTTGGCCTGCTTGTGAGACCAGCCCTGCCTTAACAGCACTGCCAAAGAAAACAAAAAGTGCAGAACAGCTTTTGATGTTTGGTGGGTTGAAGTGCAACGTGTTCTTCCTGATTCTTTGCAATGTTTATCTTTTCCATCTGCTGTGCACTTGACTAAAACAAGAACTGGAATTTAACAGGAACAAGCTTATCAGCATGCACCTAAGGCATTCATGTCAGGATATGCTTTATTATTTATTATTTCACACAATTTCTTTACTATCAATAATTGTACCTTGCCAGAATACATGTGAGGTGACTGGTCTTGCATTTATTTACATGCTAATTTAAAAGGAAATGCTGAACCAAATGACTAAATCAAATAAAGTCGAATAGATAAAAGTTAATAAATAAAAGTAATCGTAATAAACATGTCTGCTTTGTATTAGTGAACCGTGAGAGGAGCTAAACACCAACAGAGGACGCGTTTCTGCTCTCAGTTTTACCTGAGCCGCCAAACCAGAGAGCAGAGGCAAGTGAGAGCAAAACAACCGGAAACACAAAAAGTGGTCTGTCAAAATAAGGCTCAACAGAGTAGGCGTCCAGAAGCATGGCTTTATAGCTAATTACCAATAATTATCATAAAGTATTTTGTCAGTCGAGTCTGAGTGGATGGATCGGACGGCATCTGCAGCCAGTTTCTTAGGATCCACTGTGGGATGGACCTTTACATGAGATCCTTCCTGTCTACAGTCATCAGCATCGATAACATCTCTTAATGAAATGAGGATAACGAGTTACAACAAATAATTTCCCTTTGGGATTAATAAAGTATTTTTTAATTGAATTGAA